CTCTTTTTGTTCAGTTACACCCGCTGGCTCGTGCTAACTGACATCATCCCATTTAATTATATTACTTCGAAAAAGTGGGTAGCCACCCACAATTACGTAAACGACCTTCTTTGAAATGTTCGGCATTGTCAATGCATTTCTTAACTACTGTGTACCGATAGGGAGTTCAAAGGCGTTTGCCTATATTTCCCTTAATAAATTGACTTGACTTGACTTCTTGATAACCTTATGTGCTTTCCGCCCCTTTTAATCAAAAACACACTTTTATCACTGTTGCTCGTGTGTAATTCCAATTTCTTTTTCTCTCCTATGTATAGTAATAAAGACTCAGTTCAAAAAACTCTACTGTACCTTCGATTGTTGTTCTTTCACCCTATTAAGTAGTTCTAACTTTTCTGCAACGTTCGCAAATCAAAAACTTTTTTGTAGGAGTTTAACGCGTATCTAGACGCTGCATTCAGTTGATATATTAAATTGATACAACAAACTAGTTGGGCTTTTTCGGTTTTCCCTATATCTCAGAGAGCAAGAAAATACAGGGAGGGATGAATAAAGTGCACGTGGACATATTTGCATCTGACAGGAAGATTTTACTTAAAGCTTACGAAACGATTCATGGGGAAATTCCGGAACATCTACCCATGACAAAACCGTGCCGATATTCCAGCCGTTCAGCTTCAATTATAACGCATACAAACCGCAGCTACGATACATTTTTAGATATTGACAAATATGCGGATCCGGTCAGGAAATCAATGGTCGTATTTTAAGGTCTAGAAGGAAATCATAAGTTATTTTAAGTTTGGCATGAATGTGTCCTATAGGTACTTGCAAATGAATTCTAAAAAAAGGTGGTGCCCTTAAAATTACCAGCTAAAAGGTCATATAACCAATTTCTGTTTACTCCCTGTAAATATTAAACTCAGACTGTTCTTCTATTACCCATGATTAAGGATTCCCGAGGGAATCCGAAACGTTAGGACAATTAACCTCCTGTTCTAGTGATCGCTTCTCATTCCGAACTGCTTCCTGGAACTCGGATATTCTCTTCTTTTGGCAAATATTTTATTGTCTTTTAATTATTCAATGTTCTGTTGTGTCTTAACTATAAAGGTCAACTGTAAATTGTTAATCTTTTAAAAATGACGAACTGCGGCAAAACCGGACAGGGTACATATACATTTTCCAGTCAGCCGAAGGCCTTGCTACATCCAAGTAGATATAGAACATCGGATAGAACGTGAGATTTTTGATATTATAATATTTTTAGCGAATATGAACGCCA